TCAGTTTTTCAAAATGTTTCTAACAGCCTGAATTTAGCAGACTTTGCAGGATTTTCCTGTAGTCTAGGATTGTCCAGATCATCAGTGTCATGTGGGTTTTCCTCATAATGCCTTCGACGTATATGTACAATTAGTTCTGAGAAGCAGTATTCATCGTGCGTTTGGGAAACCCTGACCTAAAAAAAGATAAGTTGTGTCTTAAGTTATACAGAAGTTGTCAGAAGAGAAGACCAGAAGAACAGCTTTTCGGCAGAAACAATTGAATAAGAAGTGAATTTTCGTAAAGCAGGTGCAGGAAACTGAAGTTTTGCTAATTCTCTCAGAAATTGCAACTTAACTTATACAGATCTTGGAACCCAAGTTAGAAAAATTCCCAACATCTGTTTCCGCGTACTTGCGTTGGCTGGCTAGAGATATGCTCAAGATAAGAGTAGCATTTTCAGGCAAACTGCACTTTTCTGCAAGCTAGCCAGTACTACAACCTCACTTGGCTGATGGCTGCAATCACCAGCATATTTAGACTTCCCCGCGGGTCCTTGCCTGCTCCGCTTTATTTTGCAAATAACCTGTTTAAGTAGGTTGCTAGGTAGGGATCAGGTGAAGGCCCACAAGCATCTGTGGCATACAAGGAATGCCTACTACACTTATTTAAGTGGGTTTTAATTCGACACGACTATTTCGGTTTGGTGTTTCATCGTACAAGGTTGGGTTGTCGGTTGTAGACGGTCTAGTACATTATCTACAATGAACTCAGGTCAAAGAGATGAGAAGCGATCGTTGTCGACACCTATTGTTTATTTTTTTAATTGTCCTGCTTAATTTCAGTTGCTATATTTCAATGCATTAAAACTTTTCCGCACAAAAAATGAATTTATCAATTATCTATACTTAGTTTGCCATTCCTCTATGCAAACATAGGCCCTACCTATAAAACCCTTTTACCACCTTTTCTCGTAAGACAGACACCTTTGGTCGTGTGTGTTAAAGGTCCTTCACCCAATCGTTGCCGGTTGTTATTGCAGATAAGCTTCGAAAAGCCTGTTCATATTTGCTGACAGATTTTCTGTTTCTTTTACAAAAAATACTGTAAGCAAATTAAGCACTGCTATATTAAGTGACTTTTGATTCGAGCTGGAAACGTATTAGTTAGGAAAATAGTGTGAGAAGCCCGTCTTCGTCATGAAGAATAAAATCGTCGGTGCAAACATTCCTTTCCTATTTTCACGCTTGCTTCAACAGTGCGGAAGGTAATTGCAACAGACACCCCAAGTGTGGATCACTTGAGATTCGAATTCGGGATCTTTGGTCATGGAGTTTGACACTACCGTTGAGCCACGGGCTCGTTCTCCTGTCGGTTTTGATCGGGAATATCAATTATGACAGTGGGCGCTCACCGATCGGGTAGGTTACGGAACATGCTCGTTCCGTTGAATAACGGGCCCGTGGCTCAATGGTAGAGTATCAAAGTCCATGACCAAAGATCCCCGGTTCGAATCTCAAGTGAGCCACACTTGGGGTTGGGTATGACCGGCTGATGACGGCTAATAAGCCAGAAATGGCCATTCCGGTCTCCCTTGTCTTTGTCGGCTCAATCTCATATATATATATCAGAGCGGATACGACAGAGTCTGGGGGGTAGATTGATACAGCACTGTTTCGGGCTTGTTTGCCTTCATTCAGCCAACCATAACCCTGACCACCAGCTGGGACCGGAAACATAAACATGCGCACAGACGAACCTGGCGCAGCTGGTCCACCACTGGGGTCTACCAGATGGGTCACAAGCACTTCATCGAACAGAAGTTCATCAGTGCCTCGCCACCTGCCATTCTCTATCGCTGCAGATCGGGTATTTATTCACTCAGGAATGGACGCACACCGATCCATTGGCTTCCCGAAGCAAACAAGCGACAGAGAATGGTAGGTGGCGAGGCACTAATGAACTTCTGGTCGATGAAGTCCTTATGACCCATCTGGTCGACCCCAGTGGTGGACCAGCTGCGCCAGGTTCGTCTGTGCGCATGTTTGTGTTTCCGGTCCCAGCGGGTGGTCAGGGTTATGGTTGGCTGAATGAAGGCAAACAAGCCCGAAACAGTGCTGTATCAATCTACCCCCCAGACTCTGTTGTATCCGCTCTGCTATCATAGCTTGGCCGATTTCGGCCTGGTAGGTGGTTGCCTGTTCGTGACCCCTATCGCCCATACGAGCTTGTTTGCTTCGGGAAGCCAATGGATCGGTGTGCGCCCATTCCTGAGTGGATATATGTATATGCATATTCATGCTTCATGCGGGCACAACAAATACTAAACAGTACGGGAATCTCCTGATGAATGCGAATCCAGGTAGCTAGGCCGAACTTCAGCTCACGTTCGAAGCAAACCATGTCTGTTTTGCTGGGAATTTTTTTGCGCAAGTATGCCCTGATGTAGCGCCTGCAATCACTGCAACCTAACCGCCGTCTGGTGTTAGGAAACAGCGGAAAGCAGACAAAATCCTTATTTTCGAGGAGTTCACTTATCTGATCGCGTGACTCGCCTTATCTCTTTACCTGCACATAGAGCAAATGCGGAAGAAAAAACGGAGAGCGTAAAAATGCTACTCCTAATATGCATCCAAGCTCAATAATTTTGCAGATGTGCAATGCTTCGTAATGTGGCCTTTCCTTAAATACGCAGTCCGTTGACTCTTTCCGTGCAAGGGGTGCTGAATTTAGTCCTCCTAATGGCAGTGGTCTTATTTTGAGGTTGGATAATTCTGACGATCCGTCATTCAGGCCACAGCCCTCGTTTTTTCAAAGCTGTTGGACAGGACTCCATAGAGCTTGCCCGTGATTGAATTTTTTGCAATACGTTACTCCCCGCTTTCATCAGGAGGTCGCTCCAACTCCGAATCCTGAGGGACATAAATGAGTTTAGCTGATCCCATGAGGAAAGTTGAAAATTCGCACAGAAAATCGCTCATAAAAGGCATTATATAATGGGCTTTTGAGGGGTGGTGAACAGACTGGTGTCAAAATCTATCGTTGGAAAAAGCAATGAGTGTAGAAAGTAGGAGGTTGAATTTGCTACACATTGCGAAGCAAAGTGAGTTGCGAAAACAATCTCTGCACACTCACGTATTCCCATTTGTGCGCGTGTTAAGCTCTATCTCTTGATACTCCTCAGCATGTTACAGCCGAAATTTAGGCTTCATTCGGCTAATTAAAAATAACTTTTGCATGCAAACTGATAAAACTCTTCCTGCATCCGATAATAAATCTGCTTATCCTGGGCATTAAATGGCCAGTAGTCGAATTTTTGACAAGCTGTCGGACAGGCAAAACTTCGAGAATCAGATAAATGTTGTTTTTTTCCTTTGCATATGTTATTTTATAAGAACGAACATGACAAAATAAACATCTAAAACTCATGGTAGTTGACAGTACTCGATAGATAAGTCAAATATAAATGATTGGATTGCTCATTTTCTGCCGAATATATAAATCGAAACTTGTTTATTGTCTTGAAAGAGGTAGTTATGAGAAAATCTTTTCCAACCTTAATGAAAAAGACTTATATTAAGCAATATGTACGGAAAACAGTGAAAGCACTTTTGGTGTCTACCGGATGAAGTACTTTGTAACTCATTTCAAAAATGGGTTATCATCTGCCTTCTTTAATGGTATCATACTAATTTGCATTTAACGATGCCTAGCTTACAACCGCAGATTCTCTTGCTGGCAGTAAATTTTGATAACTTCTGGTTACACTTTCATCGCTACATAGTGTTCCTCGAGGCCAGTGAAGTCGATGAAGGTACTTCCACTACCGCCTAAATGTAGTTATAATGATGACTGGCATTAAACGTGGTTTCAGGCTGATTCATGCACGATAGTAGCTGCCTTTTAGTTGGGAATCGCCTCACCGATCACACCTCACCTGTACTACAAACTACGGCTGTATCAGTTCCATTTTTTATGGCGAACTCAGCACCATGGTGTATAGAAAGACCACTAACACAACTCAGATTCTCAACTACCATAGTAACCACCGAAGGGCGCATAAACGCAGCTGTGTTAGGACACTCTTCTAAAAGTTAAAAACGCTCTGCAGTGAGCCAGAGGTACGAGTACGAGAACTACAGCATCTTCGGGACCAACTGGCAAGGAATAGATACCCGAACAGCTTCGTCAGCCGCCGCCTCCGCCGCCTACGCACGCACACACGGCGAACAAATGGAGGAGAATTGCCAGAACTCTGGCACCCTCTGTCATACATAAAAAAATGTGTCCGAAGCGATGGAACGTATCGCTGAAGAGCTCGGCGTGGATAACTCTCACCGACCGAAAGCGAACATGCGTAACAAAATCATGCGAATGACAGAACGACTAGACGTAGGAGAAAAATCGAGTGTCGGAAGATGAAAATGCGATCACTGGAACAAGAAGTTTATTTGTCTGACGTTTCGGATTCTCACTCGAATCCATCATCAGAGACATTCGCAGATAAAGGTGATGGTGGCACCAGGAGTGCAGTATTTATAGTACGTGGCCGCCGTGGGACCGTATGCGCACTTCAATTAACAGTTCTCGCAATCACCGCTGGGGTCGTAATTGATGCGGTGGTGGCTTGTCGGTCCGAGTCCGAGTCCTTAATTGCCGTGATTTCGTCATCCGTGCTGGATGCTGGTGTGACGATTGCTCGGCAAACTGGCTCACTGTCATTGTAATTAATTGCTCGCCCGCGCCCTCCCCACGTGACTGATTGTCTTGCCCAGGGAAAATCGCAGTACGGTATAGGGTACCGGGAGGTCATTGTGCTTGTTGATGGATTGCGGGCCTGAGAACCATGACTCGAGCAACTGACGTTTCATACAAACCTCCGGTCAACACAGAGCTGGCGAGACGCGCAGTACTTCAGCACGGCTGACGAATGATCCGAGTGCTCCTTCAAGACTGTCACTGACGGATTCGCAAATACCGTCAGAGGATTGACCAAGAGAAAGCAAGGTGCTGCGAGTTCATGGGCGAGGACGGCATAAAACTGCTTCAACAGAGGCTGGCCGAACGAACCCGCGAACATAAAGCAACGCGCGAAGCAGCCCTAGAGAGCAAATTTCGTAAGCTGCTTGCTCCAATGTCATCCAAGAACGACAAACTGGTGCACAACTTGTCGTCAAAGGAGCTGACGGAGGAACAAATACAGGTTTTACGGCACGAGGCCTCATTCAACACAGCCGATGCCAAACCTGCCAACATGATCGCGGCAGTGGAATCAATCCTCAGCCAGACGGGAGCGACAGACGAATCGAAGAACCTCATTCGACACCAAGTGTCCTCCCTCCTCATGGCTCATAGGCCGCGCGACGTGCTTTCCAAGGTCGAGCGCGATGCACTTAAGGAACTCAGGGCCGACAACGACCTCGTTATCGTGCCTGCGGACAAGGGGCGTTCAACGGTCGTATTGGACAGGACAGACTACAATCAAAAAGTCAAAAGCTTGGTGGAGGATCGTCAGTCCTATGTCCCATGCGAATCCAACTCCATGAAAACGCTGACACGCGAGATTAACGCGACGCTGTTGGCAATGGAGAAATCAGGTGCAATATCGCCATTCGACCGGCGCATGGCGAGAGCACAAGAAACGGCCCTAGCCGATTCTACGGTCTCCCAAAAGTGCACAAAGAGGGCGCTCCTCTCCGGCCTATAGTATCACTAAGGGGCACTCCAACCTACGGACGGGCAAAGTGGCTGTTCCAACGTCTCAAGTTTCTGACCTCCGATTCGAACACCACAGTCAGCTGTTCAACGCAATTTTTGGAGAAACTTGAAGGAGTAAGTCTCCTGCCAAGCGATATCATGGTTTCCTTTGATGTCACGTCCCTTTTTACTTCTATCCCGCAGGACCTGGCAGTCGAGACCATCGAACTACTCCTACGTGAGAAATACGACGAAACGGAGAATCGCCTCGGACACGCCCAAATCATCCAGCTCCTGAAGTTCTGTCTCAAGACGTACTTTACGTTCGACGGAACAATCTACGAACAGGTGAAGGGACCGCCAATGGGTTCGCCGATTTCGAGACCCATAGCCGAGGCGGTCCTACAACGGCTGGAGTCGCTGGTTTTCCGACACCACAGACCGAAATTTTGGGCTCGGTATGTGGATGACACCTTCGTCGTCATCGAACGGGATCAGGTGCTGACGTTCAAAGAACAACTCAACGCCGTCTTCCCGGACATTCAATTTACGATGGAGGAGGACGAGGAGGAGGAAAACAATCAGCTGGCCTTCCTGGATGTCCTCGTCTGCCGCAAAGATTGTGGTGGCCTAAAAACCAAAGTGTTCAGAAAAGCGACAAATAAGACGCAAATACTGAACTTCAATAGCAACCATCCGCTCAGTCACAAACGCAGTTGCGTAAGGGCGCTATACCGGCGCGTTGAGACGCATTGCAGTGAAATGGAAGACAAGGTTGCTGAATTATAATATCTTCGACGGGTAATGAGAGCCAATGGTTACCCGCGTAACTTTGTCAACCAGTGCATACGAAAAGGACACCAGAGACCAAATCCAACCGGCCCCAAATTTTGGCGGGCACTTCCGTACGTGAAGAACGTCCCGGAAGCCGTCAGTCGTCTTCTCACTCCACTTGGAGTTGGGGTTGCACACAGGCCGGCAGCAACCATTAGGCGCCAAGTCATGAGGCCAAAAGACCCGCTGCCACGGCAGGAAACGTCTGGAGTCGTTTACCGGATCCGGTGTAGTTGCGGACAAAGCAATTACGTCGGAGAAACTGGGAGATTACTCCGGACGCGAACTGCCGAGCACGCAGCAGCAGTGAGGCGGGGAGACGCTAACTCTCAGGTGGCGGCACACTCGACGGGACCCGGCCATATTTTCAAATTTCAAGAGGCCGAAATCCTCGCAAGGGGTGACAACCGCGTGAGCCGCGAGCTGCTCGAGTCATGGTTCTCAGGCCCGCAATCCATCAACAAGCACAATGACCTCCCGGTACCCTATACCGTACTGCGATTTTCCCTGGGCAAGACAATCAGTCACGTGGGGAGGGCGCGGGCGAGCAATTAATCACAATGACAGTGAGCCAGTTTGCCGAGCAATCGTCACACCAGCATCCAGCACGGATGACGAAATCACGGCAATTAAGGACTCGGACTCGGACCGACAAGCCACCACCGCATCAATTACGACCCCAGCGGTGATCGCGAGAACTGTTAATTGAAGTGCGCATACGGTCCCACGGCGGCCACGTACTATAAATACTGCACTCCTGGTGCCACCATCACCTTTATCTGCGAATGTCTCTGATGATGGATTCGAGTGAGAATCCGAAACGTCAGACAAATAAACTTCTTGTTCCAGTGATCGCATTTTCATCTTCTGAACTGCTACCTGGAACTCGCGTGTTCGCTTCTATCAGCAGTCAGGTGTCGTTTATGAGATCCCATGTTGGGACTGTCCTCGCCACTACACAGGGCAGACCGGACGACGGCTTAGCTCGCGAATAACGGAGCATAAACTGGCAGTCCGGAGAGACGACCCGTTGTCTCAGGTCGCCACTCACACCCTGGAGGAAGGCCACGAATTCAACTTCGCGAGCACCGGATAGTCGCGCGGGCCAGCAATAAGACTGGGCGCGGACTGTTGGAGGCCTGGGTGTCTGACACCGACTCTATCACCGCCCCCCCCCGCTATCACACGTTCCGTTCCGTCGGCCAGAAGGCAAAACCCAATTCCCAGCCAATAATGCATGCAGTCACGCCGCGGTGAGACGGTGTGGGATTCAGCTTATCGCGAACACCATCCTCTGCACGCCTATTCTCCTCCCCCCTTCATGGTTTGCCTACAAAAACTGCTCATTTGGTGCCATATTTTCACAGTCTCTGACGGTGGCTTCCTGTACGAAACCAAAAGTTCAGACGAATACACGTACTGTCCCAGAGATAGTGTGTTCATCTTCTTTACTAGAAGAAACCTAGTTCTTTAAGATAACTCTAATTTCCTCGATATATTTACTGGTAAATCTTATTTGGGCAACCGGAATATCAAGCGTACAAACATTTACGATAACCCATCCAACGATTTACTATTACACTTCCCCTAAGCCTCTTTAATTGTCCGACTCATGTAATCAAAAGTAACCAGTTCATCCTATATGCCGTGATAAGTTACTGTCGTGAACTCTTAGGGACAAAGACAAGAATCTTAGAGGGACAATTATTGGCTTATTTGTCGTTATCAGTCACACATACCTCGGGTGCTGGGGCTGTTGGGGTCCGGATCCGGATCTGATGGGTCACTGAGCCTTTAAGCAAACGTACACTAATTGCGAGCTGCGGGACTTGCGTCTCCTACGACCGTGTTGCGATCGAGAACATGTAAGGTCATGTTTGGGTGGCGTTAACCTATCCATTCCGATCGCCGGGGGTTTCTGCTGTGCCTTGAAGCTCCGGGTTCGAAACGTTCGCAGACTATCGCATACCGGCGAAAAACTATTAATCGAGTCAGTGGCCTTACCTTGCGAAATGGGATATAGTGACATTCCGTCCTCTTTCTCGTAGAGCAAATTCCAGAGGATCGGGTTTAGGGGGGAGGGGGGGTTAGTGTTATGGTTGGGCGGTCATGGTTAGGAGGGATAGAATTAGAGGTAAGTGGATTAGCGTCAGAACTAAGATTTGGGATTAATGTGAATGTTAGAACACGGTAATAGGCACCCCCTGGAATTTATCTCAGGACCGCCTGTGGTACGGGAACGCCTATCCCCGTACCCAATTAATCGTTTTCCCACAAACTTCGGATAATCGATTTCCTATACGAAAGCAATTTCTTAATCTGAGTATAGAGCGCGGGAGTTTCGCTTTAGTGGACTGGAGTGGTAAATTTGTATTAGATAACACGGATAGATGGGTGAAACCGTTTCTTTGGAAAGCGCCGGCGCAACCCTTGTGGCGTTGATACAAAGTTTAGCAGAACTTTCAGCGAATATAGCCAACGAGCTGGTGAGAAAGACGGATAGAAGTCGTTCATATACAATTAATGTTTCTTAAAATTTCATAGACAAGAGCGCGAACGTATGATACTATCAATATGGATCATCATGCCATTTGGATCTAAAACTCTTTTCAGAATTTAGCAGGCGATAGTTAACTACACCAGAATATCGAAGGTTGTTCTCAGAACCTTAAGTAGAGACGAATTTACCGGTATAAAGTAAAAGTTGACAAGGAAGCCGTTCGAATCCGGACGCGTTGGTGAATAGGAGTTCGCCTTACACGACATGCCGCATATGTTTAACTAAGCCGCGGGTCTACGTTTCAAAGGCTGCCAGCTGAGCATGCTTAAATTCCCTGCCAGAAGAAAAGATTAGGCACCTAAGGGTGCCCAGACACCCTAGATGTAAAGCAGGGCAGAATGCCACCATTTCGTCCAGTAATGAGGTCAGCTGTGCCAACGACCCTCCTACGTGATTTGCATCCTTTTTCCTTGTACATCCCACCAGAATTTTCGTTGGATTTAGATATTTGTACCTTTACAAAAGTAAGCTTTGGGAAATATAATTTTAACAAGACAGTCCTCTGCGTTGCTGGTCAACATATCTTTTTTCCCCACTGTTTTTAGTCCAACAAGTTCCCGTGCATCTTTCGGTCTCTCATCGTCTGGTCGAATGTTTATTATGTTGACAGCCCGTGCGTATAAACCAGTACTTCTATTTTTGGCTGTTCGCGTCGGCACTATAGACTCCAGAAAATGGATAGTTCGGTACTTCAGTCACCCCTAAACTACCCGCATAAGTTAGTTTACTGTTTTTGTAGACAGTTTTCTTATCAGCGAAGATTCTCTATCTGTCCCATAACCTTGGATTTAAATGGGCAACTTCCCGAAGTAAACAAGCGTCCGAATATACCTGCAACAACAGCGGGTCCACGAGATAAAACCTTGTAGGGTTAACTGGCTAGCAGACAGAGCGTATTTGCGCTGTTTGATTCGCAGACTTTATTTTCAAAGTGCTCATTAAACGCTGGTCAGATCGTGAGTTTCAGAGTGGTAGACTCTGTTCTCGTTCGCGCACTGCTCGAAGAGGGTTGTAAGGCGGAATCGGGAATAGAATTCTGGATGCGCCTAACATTCGCAGTCTCCCTTATCATCTTAATGACAGACCGGCTTAGTCTAACTCAAAGAACTCACGTGTAGGTGGTCAGGTATTGGGTTCTTCGTCAAACACGCTCGCTGTCTGTATGATTTATCATATTAACACGGGTGCTAGCTACATGGCAAAGTTGTACCGGGTTCGGCTCATCAGTGAGTCCCCCAGCAATTCTCGTGTGCCTTCTGGTGAACACTCCAATTTTTAAATTTCGACTCTTTACCTTTCTCAGAAATCAATGTGCTAGCATGTAAGTCTTGTGGGATGCGGATTTATAGGCTCAGTCCGAAAGTGCGTATAATTATTTGGATCGAAATCCGCCAGCGTATTTTCTGCCTTCCCCCGATTTGCTTCCAACTCCGCCTGAGAAAGCCTGCGCAAATTATTTCAATGATCCAGTGATATCACATCCACTGATATGTCCGAAACTTTCTTGGCATAGCCTTATTTCTCTCATTTTGACCACACTCAAACTTCCTCCGACAAAAGAATAAATCCCCAAAATCATATGAGATGCATGTCTATTACCGAGCACGGTCGACAGTGCGTGAGTATATAGCTCTGCTGATGGAGTATGTGACTCACATTTTCGACGACAAACTGGAGTCAAACTTAAATAGCAGGTCATTTGGGTGGGGGTATTGGCTAGCTACTGATGATATCTTAGTCGCAAACTGGCATTTCGGCCTTCCTTTTTAGTCGGCATTTCTTCCGCAATGAATAACACTTCTTCCACTTCAGTTAACGAATATTTCTGCGTGAGACCGGTCGAGCAAGCAAGAGCTTTGCCTTAGCATCTTGTGTCGGATCATTTTATTTCCGGAGCCAGCTGATATAGTTTTTGTGGTTTATCGATTAAAAACGCCTTCTGGCTGCTGTGTGATGGCGGTTTCCACTTTCAAGGTCTATATTCCGCTCTCATTTTCTTCTTTTTCAGTCGGAGTGATGCCCAGTTTAAAAGCTGTCCGTTGATATATCATTGGCAGCAGCTGTGTTCAAAGTCGGCTCAAAATCATTGGTGAGCTCGGGATGGACGATATCCGCTCTCTTTGCATTTTAATGCCCGGAAGAATCTGTCACTGGGAGACGGAGAATTTCCACATTATGCAGTGCTTAATGATTCCGCTTTCCAGCAACAGCGTTTAACTTTCTAATTCAACCCCCTTACGTCTTGTTTTTATGCTGGCTGGGGATCGAATCATTTAAATGAGCATAGCGCACTTAAATTTACCTATGGGAAGAAATTGGCTATTACTTTTACGTTCACATCATATTTATTGGCTGCGCGTCTTAGGTAACGATTCCAAGGCCTATTTGACCTCTT